GGAGTCCTGACCCCCAGCCCCTCCTCCCTCAGACCCAGGAGTCCTAACCCCCAGCCCTTCCTCCCTCAGACCCGGGTGTCCTGACCCCCAGCCCCTCCTCCCTCAGACCCGGGAGTCCTGACCCCCCAGCCTCTTCTTCCCTGAGACCCACGAGTTTAGACCCCAGCCAGTCCTGCCTCAAGATCCAGAGAATCCTGCTCCCAACATCCTTCTCTTCCAGGGACCCAGGAGTTCCAGGCCCCCACCTCCTCCTGTCCCCTTGTCCTGGCCAGGGAGCCCAGATCCCCAGCTAGTGCTGTCTGGTGACTATGCACCCACCATTTGGGAGACTTGCAGTCCCATGCTTTGCCCCTCCCCACTCAGCTTTGGTCCCAGGAGGAAGAGGGTTAGTGCTCACAGTAGACCAGCAGCAAAAGGAGTGGCCTCAGAGCCATGGTGGGCAGATGAGGAGGCAGGGTTCAGTCAAGTCCTCTCGTCCCTCGTCTTCCAGGAGAGGAGACAGAGCCAGAAAGCCAGAGCCGGATCCCTGTGGAGGGAAGGGAGGGGGGCCCTGGGTGGCTGTGTCACCGTCCCATGGTGCTGTGGAAAAAGTTGGGAGAAAGCGCTGTCCTGACAGCTGTGTGCATTCATTCAACTGTTAGTTCATGTTTTAAAGTGCAGCATTTATGCCTCCCAGCTGGCAGTAAAAGAAGATTGAAGAAGATTTGGTGCCTATGCATTGCGGTGTGATGGTGGTGATGATGTGCCGTGGAGTCGGCTCCAACTCATAGTGACCCTGTACAGGGTTTCTGAGGCTGTAAATCTTTACGGGAGCAGAAAGTCTCATCTTTCTTCCGTGGAACAGCTGGTAGTTTCGAACAGTCGACCTTGAGGTAATCATACACTACCAGAGCTCCTTGCAGTGTAGGTGAAGAATATTGACTACACCAGTGTCCTTGCAGTGTAGGTGAAGAATATTGAATGGACCATGGGCTGCCAGAACAGCATACAAATACATGTTGGAAGACGTAGAGCCAGAATTCTCCCTGGAAGTGAGGATGGCGACATTTGATCTCTCACACTTTGGACAAGTTATCAGGAAACACCAGTCCCTGGAAAGGACATCATGTGTGGTAGAGTCGCGAGAAAAAGTGAAGTCCCTCAAAGAAATGTTGACACGGTGGCTTCAACAGTGGACTCAAACGTAAGGAAGATGGTGAGGATGGCGCAGGCCTGGGAAGTGCTCTGTTCTGTTGTACATCAGGTTACTGTGAGTCGGAACTGACTCAATGGCACCTACGACAGCATTCCTTTGCAGGCCCTGTGCTGAGTGATGCTGGTGGTACAGAGAGACATCAGACTCAGATAATGCTCTTAAGTGGTTCCCAGTCTGATGGAAAGACAGAATGAGACCCGAGTTAGCTTAAAAAGTGTGAGCTGAGGCCTCTCCTTGGCTAAGGTGAGTGAATGTTTTTGATCAAAGACCCAACAGATAGATCCTGACTGAAAGGAGGAAAAACATGGAACCTCTTATGGAAACCAGACTTACTGGATCTATTGAGCCTGAAATCTAGTGCCCAGAAATCATCTTTAAACTAGGAACTGAAACTATCCCACAAAGGCATGATTAAAGTAAATAACAGTCCAGTTAACAAAGAGTGTTTGCATCGAGCCATAGGGCTCCTATAAAGAATTATCGACGTGTGTGTAAACTGATGTCAGTTCCTCTAAAACTCAGAAAAGAACCTTAAGGGACAGAGAGCATAAATTAATGGCGGTGGAGCAGTGTAGATGGACATAGTGAGAACACCGATACAGTGGAAGTATGTAACCACTGCCATTTAACGGTTGGTGTAGAAATTGTGAATAAAAGTATTTGGTTGTGTAGACCATCCCATGTATCGTTGGTGGTGTTGTTAAGTGTCGTTGAGTCAGTTCTGACACATAGCAACCCTGTATAGGGTTTCCAAGGAGCATCTGATGAGTTTGAACCACTGACCTTGAGGTTTATCCTACAGCGCCACACCAGACTTCTTAGTGTCAGTGGATGTATCTTTATAAAAAAAGTTTCCAATCAAAGCAGCAGCTTCTGAGGGGGGATCTGCTGGCCCAGTTCAATGCAAGGCAAGAGAGGTCAGCTCACATGGTCACAACTACTATGTTTAGGGTCCCAAAGAGGTCATCTTTATAGATTTTCTTGAAAGACACAGGATGACCACAGGAGCTTCTTATGAAAGTTTCAGAAAATTAAAAATTGTATTGGGAGAAAAAGGCCAGAAAAGTTATGCCAAGGAATTTTTCTCCCATCCAAACCATACACCTGCTCATTCTTCGAGGGTGACAAGGACTAGCCTACGTGAACTTCACTGAGAGCTAGCACTTCTCAAACAAGATTATTTTGAGTTGAAACCTAAGTGATAAATAGGACCTAAATGATAAATTTATGATAAATGATAAATTCCACTGCTCGGAGCCTCCATTTTTCCATCTGCAAAACGGGCTTTCATAGGTAAGCTCACCAGCCGCTCCTCAGTGTCAGCCCTGGATCGCAAGGTCGGTTTGAAGTACAAGGTCAGCGGTTTAAACTCACCAGCCGCTCTTGCTCTTTGGAAACCCTAGAGGCCAAGATGGCCAAACTTTGTGTCTCATACTTTGGACATATTGTCAGGAGGGACCAGTCGCTGGAGAAGGATATCATGTTTGGTAAGATGGAGGGTCAGAGAAAAAGAGGAAGACCCCCATCGAGATGGATTGGCCAAGTGGCAGCATCTATGGACTCAAGCGTGGCAACAGTAGTGAGGTTGGCCCAGGATTGGACAGTGTTTCGTTCTGCTGTGCATAATAAAGTCGCTACGGGTTGGTACCGACTCGATGGCTCCTAACAACAACAACAACAACAACATACAGGGTAGCTGAGACTCCACGGCACTTAACACCACCACCACCACGAGGATTTCGCCTTAGACGGGTGGCAGCAGAACTGAAACTTACTCCCGGGAAGCGGGCTTCCAGAAGTTCCAACGTTCTCTCCCAACGTCACACACCCTGATTCTGTTATGCGCCAGTGCGCACTCGTGGACTAGAGCAGCAGCACCTCAAGCACAAGGACCACAACTCCCAGAATGCTCCGGGTCCCCGGCGACTCCCCCCTGGGACCGTCTGTTCTACCCCTCCGTACACTCATGGACTCAGGCACGGAGGAACCACAACTCCCAGAGTGCTCTGCGTTCTCGCGGTAGTTGTCACCGCCTCCGATGCCAAGATGGCGGCGAGTAAGTGCCGGTGTTCGTGTCTTGCAGGGCTCGGGTAGTTCAGGAGCCTCCGGGCGTCGCCGGGGAGAGGGCGGGCGGAGCACCCGTGGAGAAAATGCACTCCGTGCCCCAGGGAGACGCGGGAGTCGCGAAGGGGAAGGGGTGGCACCGGGTTAGAGGTCACTGCGGGCAGCCCTTTAGAGGTGACTCTGCTCGCTACCTCTGCAGGACTCACCACCTTCCTCAAGAACGCCTGGGCCAAGGAGCCGGTGCTAGTCGTATCCTTCACCATCGGGGGCCTCGGTGCGTGAGTGCCCCAGGCGTCCTTACCCTCAAGACCCTTTCACCTTCGCCAGTGTTCCATCTTTACCCCCAAGAACCCCATCAACGTTCTACCCTTAACCCCGTGACCCCATCACTGCTCTCAACGTTTGTGCCCCTAGCAGTGTGCCACCCCCCCAGAGACCTTACACCGACGACCTCATCCCAGCATTATAACCCTTCCACACCAAAGAAGTACACTTCTCAAGAATGGCCCCTCAGCGCCCTCCCGGCCCCCAGGCAGACCCAGGAGGTCCGCGATCCTTTTAGGAGCCATTCTTCACCCATCGGTGCATTCCAATCTCTTCTGACTCAGTGCCCCCCTGGGACATAGACCTACCCTGGGCCTCCCACCTCCACTGGGGCTGGCGAACCTGGATTTTTGTGAAAACACCCCTAAATATACCGCCCCAACGGAGGACCTCGGCTCTAATGGAATGGGGGGACTTGCTAAAATGCACCTTCTGACTCAGGTTTGAGGTCCCTCACTACCCCAGAGTCAATTCGGACTCATAGCGACCCAATAGGACTGCCCATGCCTCGTCTTTCTCCTCCTGGGGGGTGGCTCTGAGTTAGCCCCACATCACCAGGATGCCTCTTCCCACCCACCCACCCACCCCAGAACTTGTAGACCCTCCACAGTAAAAAGGTGCCAGCCTCCCTGTCCCCCAGTGCCCATGCGCTGTCTTCTTTACTTTGTCAAAATTGGTTTTGCCCCCGTGTCCCCGCAGCTATCACCCTGCCCCCGTTAAGCCCCTACACCAAGTACGCCAGCATGATCAACAAGGCCACCCCCTACAGCTACCCAGGTGAGTGGACAGCCCACAGTGCTGGGGTGGGACAGTGATGCTGGGCATCCTCCTCTGCCCCAGGGTCGGGTTGCTGTGAGTGAGCCAATCATGGGCTTGGTTTTTCCTTTTCTTTTCTCGGTAGGGATGTGCTCCCTCCTCCCTTTTTCTGGCCTTCTTTGAGTTGTGATTCATAGACCATCAGATTCGTCCCGTCCATTTTTACACTTTGAGTTTCTATGATTTTTCTGTAATTTCTATTCCTTGCTGAAGGAGCCCTGGTGGTACAAAGGTTAAGTGCTTCGCTGGTAACCAAAAGGTCAGTGGTTCGAGCCCATTCAGCAGCTCTATAGGAGAAAGACCTGGTGATGTGTTCCCGTAAAGATTTAAATGCAAAACCAAACTTAATGCTGTCAATTCCATTCTGACTCATAGCGACCCTATGGGACAGACCAGAATTGCTACTTAGGGTTTCTGGGACTGTGAATCTTTATGAGAACAGATTACCTCATCTTTCTCCCTCAGAGCAGTTAGTGAGTTTGAACCAGCAACCTTGCTGTTACCAGCCCGGTGCTTAGCCCACTGCACCACCAGGGTCCCTTCCATAATGGTTACAGCCAAGAGAACCCTGTAGGGCAGTTCTGCTCCTCACATGGAACTGACTTAGTGGTACCCAACAATCATCCTTTGTTGGGGTCCCCATCTGTTACTGTCTTCCTTTTTGTCTCTGATTATAAGACGACATGGTCTCATTTCCCCACCTTCCTGGGCCACCGTGGGTCCTGTTTCCCTCTCTGAATAGCCCACCCTTCTGCCCCACAGTGCCCCTCCGAGATGACGGGAATTTGCCAGACGTGCCCAGCCACCCGCAGGACCCCCAGGGCCCCAGCTTGGAGTGGCTGAAGAAACTGTGAGCCCTCCTCGGATGGGTCCCTCTGACCCCCCAATAAAAATCTGGAAATGAGCCCCTGACTCGGAGTGTGTGATCAGACTGTGGCCACGCCATTGTGGGGGTCTGTTTATTGGTGGTGGGTCAGTCGAATGGGGGACTGGCCAGAGTCGGGTAGGGTAGCAGTTTGTCTGGCCCCCGGGACACCCAGCTGGAATCCAGGGCCTCATCTGTTTCGAAGCCAAAGTCCTCCTCGACCTTGATCTGGGGAAAAGAGGAACGTGGAGAGTGGGCTTCCAGTTTATCTGTCAGCCTGACAGCCAGAGGCAAACCCAACACCGGCGCCTGTCTGCCCCGGGCTCAGCTTGACGGCCTCTGCCTCTCCTCCCTCCCTCCACTGCAGGCCTGCTTCCTGTCCTACCCCCCACCCTGCCTCCCCCCACCCCACCCCCAGCATCACCACCTGCACCGGAGGCAGCTCTGACGTCAGCACAGGTCCTGCTGCTCGACGTCCATCCCGGGGGGCCCGCCGCCTCTTCCGCCCGCTGGACCCCTCCCCGGCAGACGGGCTACTGGGCTCAGGGGCCGCCAGGGGCCTTCTGGGCGGGGTCAGCCCCTCTTTCTCTGGAGGCTCGTTCTCAGCATTGCCCGGGGTGGGGGCATCAGTGCCTTGGCTGCCCTCGTCCTGGTGGAGAGAGGGGAGCAGATAGAAGTGGGGTGCTGCCGCTCAGCTCCCCCTGCCCACCGGGGGCGCAGCTCTCACCTCTAGCAGGATGGTAAACTGGCCCGCCCGGTAGTCATCCCCGTAGGAGTCCAGCACCCGCATGAGGAACCTGCAGGAAAGGAGTCGAGTGTCCCCCCAAAAGTACAAGCTGTAGGTCCTGACCTCTGCACCTGGGGGCGTGGTCCCATGTGCCAGAGGGTCTGTCCGCCAGTTGGTCAAGCCCCTGCTCTAAGGTGAGATCTAAAGCCCTGAGCAGGAGGAAGCCCACCCAGGAGCCTGAAGAGACAAGGCCTTCCCCTCAGCCCAGAGAGTGCCGTCCCTAGAGCCTGCACCCGGAACTGACAGAATCAACTTGTTTGCTGAGGCCTCGCACTTGGGTTTGTTGAAGCTGCCCCAGCCCAGCCTAGCCCAGGCCAGGCCACTACCGTCCAGTGGGTTCCAGTTCATAGAAACCCTGCAGGAAGGAGAACTGCCCACAGGTCTCCAGGCTGTCGGTCTTCACAGACAGAGGCCGACTGCCTGACCTTTGCTGTGCGCAGTCCAGTGATAAACCCACCGCGCCACCAGGGCTCCCGTCTAGCCGCGCTAAAGGCCTAAGACAAGCAGCCTTCTTGGTTAGCTTGGGGGAGGGGAGAGAGCCGAGCCCAGCACTGCCCGCTCTGGAGCCCAAGGCCCCTCCACATAGAAGGCTAAGTGCTCCGGAGGCTAAAGGACCAGGCTTCCGCTGGGCTCGACTGTAAAGCACTTCCGGTGAGCACTGGTACCCAAGCAGTAAGGAGCCCTGGTGGCACCATGGTTAAAATACTCGGCTGCTAACTGAAAGGTCGGTGGTTCAAATACACCAGCCGCTCCTCAGGAGACATGCTCCTGTAAAGATGGGCAGCCTCAGAAAGTGGGCAGTTCTACTCTGCTTACAGAGGCGCTGTGAGCTGGCACTGACGGGACGGCAGTGGGTAAGCACTGGGATGGGAGAGTTGTGTCAGCCCTAAGAGATCAAAAGGGCAGCATCTGCCCAGGGACCAAGGCAGGAAAGGCCAGAAAAGGAGGTTAGTGGGAAATGGTCAACCCAGGGAGGAAATGGGAGGCATGCACTTACATTGTGGGGACTGCACTCAGCGTCACCAAAAGGGTACAAATTGTTGAAAGGAAAACCGATTTGTAACCTTTCAACCTAATCATAATAAAAAGAAACATTTTCAAAATAAATGGACTCCTCAGCCAGGTGCTGATTTTCTGAGGCAGCACCTGAGACCTTGCATTTCTGGCTTGCTGGTCTACTCCTACACAAACCACTCAAAACCCTATGGAGCCATGAAACTACTGCCCTTTCCGTCTTAAATAAAAAATAATCCCCTGAAGTCTTAAACTTGAATAGTTGTTGTTGTTGTTAAGTGCCGTCAAGTCGGTTCCAACCCATAGCGACCCTGTACAGGGTTTCCAAGGGTGTAAATCCTTACGGGATTAGAAAGCCTCATCTTTCTCCCGCGGAACGGCTGGTAGTTTCGAACCGCTGACCTTAAGGTTCGCAGCCCGATTCGTAACCACTACGCTACCAGGACTCATTAGAGTCCTGGTGTGGTGCTGTGGGTTAATGCACCAGACTGCAAAGCTGTTTGAACTGCAAGGTCGGTGGTTCAAGCTCACCAGCTGCTCCTTGGAAACCCTATACAGGGTCGCTATGGGTCGGAATCGACTGGACGGCACTCAACAATATAATTAGTACAGAAAGTCTGCCTTGAGCATTGTGTTCTTTTAAGGGCTATCTGGAGTCCTGGTGTGACGCTACAGGATAACGCGCTGGACTGCAAGGTCAGTTTGAACCTCAGTTCAAATGCACCGGTTGCTATGACAGCATTTAACCCTCCCCCCACCCTCCCCAAGGACTATCTACATGGGATCAAATTGGACACCAGCGGCTCCAAAGACTAGATGGGAAGTTTAGGGCATGTTTCTAGCTGATGTTCACCGGTGAGAAGCAACTCAGAAAATGAGACTCAGAATGGTCCCACGGCTCAAGAATATCATCAGTGTCACAGAATTGTCCACGTAGAAACTGTCAGACTGCTGCGTGTTTGGCTATGTAGCGGAGATGGTGGTGCCTTGGTTAAAGCGCTCCGCTGCTAACCAAAAGGTCAGCAGTTCGAAACCGCCAGATGCTCTGTGGGAGAAATGGGGCCATCTACCTCTGTCAAGATGTGCAGTCTTGGAAACCCCATGGGCCACTCTGACCCTTTCCCATAGGGTTGGTATCAGGCGGACTCGATCCCACAGTTCCTTCACAGCCGCTTAACTGGCAGAAACCAGGCTCAGAGAGGGGAAATAGATGGGTGCAAACAGGTCTGAGACTACTCCTTGTGCCCGTCTGTTCAGAGCGCGCATGCGGGGCCCCCTCAGCCACCTGCCCTCAGCTCCATCCTCTCCTCCTCTGGCCCATGAAGCCAGGCAGGCAGGGAGGAAGGACCATGAGTCAAGTGATAGACCAGTGTAGGGGTCCGGAGCGGGTGCAGAAGGGGCTACCTCCGTTCCTGCTGAAGTCTCCGCGTTATCCTCTGTACCTGATGGAGTCTGTTCAAGACCCGCTCGTTCACCTGCGACGAGGTGGAAGAAAACACACATCAGCGGCCTTCCACCCGGACAAATGCTGTATCAGTGGAGGGTATGAGAGGAGGTGTGTGTGCGACCTCAGAGAGCTGCTAAAGAAGACAGCTGTCCACCAGCTCTGCCTGGTGTTAATGGATGATGGACCCACGGAAGCTGGCAGGAGCGCTGGCCATGTGGACACGTAGATGATCCCGGGCGAGGGTGGTAACAGGTCAAGACGGGACCCACACTCATCTGTACCTGCTCGATCTCCCGGCAGCGCCGCCCCAGCGCTTGGTACTTCCTGCGGTTCAGTTCCCGTTGGCGCCGTCGCCGACCCCGCGCTGCCTCTTCCTCTTCATCCCGCTCCCGGAGCCCCGAGCCGCCCAGACCGCCAGACACAAACTCCACCTCCGTCTCCAGTTCGCTCTCCAGGATGTGGCCGCCGAATAGCGGTGGCAGCGCCAGCTCCGAGCCAGGCGGCGCCGAGAATTCCTCAAAGCCCACGGCTGCCATGGTTCTGGAGAGCCAAGGGGATTCAGCGACCCAGGAGTCCTCACCCCCAGTCCCTCGTCCCTCGGACCCAGGAGTCCTGACCCAGTCCCTCCTCCCTCAGACCTGGGAGTCCTGACCCCCCAGCCCATCCTCAAACCCAGGAGTCTTGACCCCTAAATCCCCTCCTCCCTCAGACCTAGAAGTTTGGATCCCCAGCTCCCTCTCTCCTCAAATTCAGGAGTTCCGATCGCCAGCCTTCTTCTCCCGCAGGATGCTCGAGAACAGAACCTAATCCCTAAAATATCTCAATAAGCGGTAAAGAGGTGGGGGCGTCCAAGGTAAAACAACTGCGTGAACTACAATTCCCGTCAGCCATTATGGTAAAAGCGCAGAAGTTTGCATAGTTGCAGCCGCAATGTCTTTTGGGATTCGTAGTTTTTCTGAAAGGCTCGGTCACTTACCCTTCTCTCTGTTCCAGCTCCATCTCGCTCCTACTCCAGGCTCCCCAGGCTTGGGAACTTTCAACTCTCTCAAATCGCTAGCTCAAGGAGTTCGAAAAACTACCAGTCCCATTAGGCTTCGCGACTAAGGAAACAGGGCCCGATACCCCAACGCCTCCAGGGAATTGTAGTTTCCTATTTCTGGTTTCGCCCGACCGCTGCCACCTCCACTCCGAGTCCCAGCTTAAAGGCCTAGCGTTCCCGTCTCTACGCCACCACCGGTCGTCTGCGTTGCCGACGTCTTTCATTCTCGACGGGACATCCTGTCTTCTGTTCACGGCGTTCCTCCTCTCAACAGACCCAGTCCACAGCGGGTCGTAAGCCCTCTTGAGTTCGCCTTTCTGCTTTCCTTGTTTACCCACTCTGAGCCCAGCAGCGGCTGCTAATAAAGTTGTTGTTCCAAACGCGGCCGGAAACGTCAGAGCACCGCTTTCCCTTCGCTAACGGCGCGGGTGTGAGACGTCATCAGTGAGCGCCGCCCGCTCTTGGGACGCTTGCATTCTTAGAGACAGTGCTACGAGGAGGGAAACGGTGCGTGTTAGGAGGAAGATGGGGCGCGGGAGGCCAGACTTCTGGGTCTCTGGGAGGAACGATGGGGAGACGGGCGGGTCTCTATGGATTGGCGGATCCCTTTGCCCAAACAAGTGCTCCTGCGACGTTACCCCTCTGGGGATATGGCTGGATCAAACATGGTCCCGGGTCCCTTGAGACCTTTGCTTAATTAACGCCTTGGTTATGCCGTTGTTGTTGTTGTTGTTATGTGCCGTGGAGTCGGTTCCGACCCACAGCGACCCTGAACAGGATTTCCGAGGCTGTAAATCTTTACGGGAGCAGAAAGCCTCCTCTTTCTCCCGTGGAGCAGCTGGTAGTTTCAAACTGCTGACCTTTTGGTTCACAGCCCGATTCGTAACCACTACGCTACCAGAGCCCCTTGGTTATGCCATTAGTGGGTTACAATTGCTGACCTTAAGGTTAACAACCCAGTGCTTAACCCGCGGCGCCAACATCCAGTCGATTCCAACGCATAGCGACCCTGTAGGACCGAGTGGACCTCCCCTCGTAGGATTTCTAAGATTGCAAATCTTTTTAGAAGCAAACTGCCTGGGCTTTCTCTCCTGAGAGCGACCTCTGGGTTTTCAGCCCGGTTGTTCCACAAGGGCCTCTTCCCCAGCTTATTCTAACGGGGATCTTGTTAAACTGAAGATTCGGATTCAGCGGATCAGGGTGGGAGCAGAGGGAACCGATTGTAAGCCCCGTTGTTTGGTTGCTGGTGGTGCAGGGCCTCCTGGGGGTAACGTTGTGGGATTTGGTTGGGGCAGGGTTTGAAAGAATCCTGTTTTCCTTCCTCACAGGCCTCGGGATGTCTCTGGCTGATGAGCTCTTGGCCGACCTCGAGGAGGCTGCCGAAGAGGAGGAAGGAGGAAGCTATGGGGAGGAAGAAGAGGAGCCCACGATTGAGGATGTTCAGGAGGAAACACAGCTGGATCTTTCTGGGGATTCGGTCAAGAGCATCGCTAAGCTATGGGACAGCAAGATGGTGAGAGAGCCAGACCAGAGGCGCACAGCCCAAAGCGACTCTAAACAGAAGCAAGCTCCCGGAAATGGGGTGATACGGGCTGCATCTGTTTCTTTGTGAAGTTCCCTGGCATCTGACCATACTCTCCCTCCCAAACAGTTTGCTGAGATCATGATGAAGATCGAGGAGTACATCAGCAAGCAAGCCAAAGCTTCAGAAGGTCATTTCTCTCCCGGCCTCACCATCATTCCGCTAGGCCTCTTGGCTCTTTTTCAGCTCCCCGAACAGCGTGAATATCTTCCCGAGCAGTTCAGCTCTGACACATGTGGGGTCACCAGGAGTTGGAAGAAACTTGTTTGGTTTAGGTTTTAGGTCTGAGTGTGGGAGAGGTGGTCACTAAAGGGTTGTTAGATGCTACCAAGGTTGCAAATCTTTGTGGGAGCAGAAAGTTTCACCTTTCTCCTGCAGAGTGGCTGGTGGGCTCCAATTGCCAACCTTGTTGTTTCACGTCCAGTGGTCACCCTACAGAGCCACCACACTGTACTACCAGCTAAAGGGTGTTGTTAGGTGCCTTGGAGTTGGTTCCGACTCATAGCGACCCTGTATATAGGGTTTCTGAGACTGTAAATCTTTTCAGGAGCAGAAAGCCTCATCTTTCTCCTGCAGCTAAAGGCTTGAGGGTTGGTTTTCCTGGTGATGAAATGTTCTGAAATGTACTATGCTAATGCAGCACCTACCTGGGGAACTTCCAACGCTCCTGGAAAACTCGAGTTGTTCTCGTATTCGTGAGTAAGCTAATAAAACCACTGCCGTGCACACAGTAAACGGGTGACAATGGCATTTCAGTCAAACCCACTGCTGTTGCTGGATTCCAACTTCCATCGAACCCTACAGGACAGAGTGGAGTCCTGGTGTGGCACTGTTGAGTAAGCACTGGACTGCTAACCACAAGGTCAGCGATTCAAACCCACCACCGGTTCCTTGGAAACCCTATGTAGGGTCGCTATGAGTCAGAGCTGACCCGACAACACTTAACAATATAGGCCAGGACAGAACTGCCCCGTTTCTGGGTTTCCACAGCTGGAATCTTTATGGAGCTCTGGTAGCGTAGTGGTTACGAATTGGCCTGCGAATCTAAAGGTCAGCAGTTTGAAATTACCAGCCGCTCCGCGGGAGAAAGATGAGGCTTTCTGCTCCCGTAAAGATTTACAGCCTCGGAAACCCTGTACAGGGTCGCTATGAGTCAGAACCGACTCCACGGCACATCATAACAACAATCTTTATGGTGGAGTCCTGGTGTGGTGCTGCAGGTTAATGAGCTGGACTACACAGTCGGTTTGAACCACAAGGTCAGTGGTTCAGGCTCACCAGCTGCTCCTCGGAACCTTTATACAGGGTCACTATGGGTCAGAACCAACTCAACAGCACTTAACAACAACAACAATTGTTATGGTTAGGAGCCAACCTGCACATTAACAGCTGAGCCACCTGTGTTTAAAAATAAATAAATAAACTTCAGTCTGGCCTCAGGACTGCAGGGGAAGAGGTTGGAGGTAGGCCGGGCTCGGGAACATTTGAGGATGCCTACAGTAGCCCCTGGCTTCTTCCCTCTCCTGCCCTTCCTTCCCCCCAGCTCCCGCAGCGGCTCTGCTCTGGCGCCGCAGACGGGTGTTTAGACTCACCTTCATACCCGCTGTCTCATCTTCACAGTGATGGGCCCAGTGGAGGCCGCCCCAGAGTACCGGGTCATCGTGGACGCCAACAACTTGACCGTGGAGATCGAGAACGAGCTGAGTGAGTGCCTTCCCCACCCCCAGTGAGACCACCTCACCCAGGGTCCTGCCCACAGCCCCTTATATGAACTGCTTCCCAGGCCGCCGAATGCAGGTTCCCGAATGCAGGGCGGCTTCGACAAGAGGGAAGGGGCTTTTCCGTTCACCATTCACCTCCCAGCCAGTGGGTCTCATGCTTGACCACCCATCTGTCAGCAGAGGCTGGTGGGCAGCTGAGCACTTTTCAGTGGAGTTTCCAGACACAGAAGGACTAGGAGGACATGCCTGGCAGTGTGTTTCTGGAAATGGGCCTGTGCCTTTAAAAACCCATGGATCCTACTGGTCTGGTTTAGTCATGGAGATGCTGTGGGCCCGGCAGCATTCGGTTCCATTATGCATGGGGGGTGGGGGGCACTCAGCAGAAGTCCGTAAGAACAACACCACGAGGGGGCAACTGCTCAGAGTGCCCCAAGCACCCAGGGGACCCGTTCCTGAAGGAAGAAGAAATGGATGTTGGCATTCCTGCAGAGCCCCCTCCCCTCTCTGTCCACCCAGACATCATCCATAAGTTCATCCGGGACAAATACTCCAAGCGCTTCCCAGAACTGGAGTCCCTGGTGCCCAATGCGCTGGACTACATCCGCACGGTCAAGGTGAGCAGAGGGCGCTGGACTGGGCTGCATGAGAGCATCCCAGCCGCCCCCAGCCTTTCGGGAGACAGGGCCCCTCTCTTGGCTCCTGCCCTTCCCAGATGCTGTGGAGTGGATTCTGACTTGTGTGTGTCAGAGTCCAACTGTGCTCTGTGTGATTTTCTTGACCATGCAGTCTTCATAGACGGAGATTGCCAGGACTTTCTTCCGTGGTACTGCTGGTTGGGTTTGACCCACCAACCTTTACGTTAGTTGTTGGGGACCATAGAGTCAATTCCAACTTACAGTGACCCATGGGATGGACAAGAACGGCCCGTAGGATTCCTACGCTGTCACCATCTATCACCTTTATGGAAGCAGGTTGCCAGGCATTTCTTTTGCAGCACTACTGAGTGGGTGCGAACCACCAACTTTTAGGCTCATTGTTGATGTTAATTAACGTGCAGTCAAGTCAGTTCGGATTGCTAGCGACCCCAGGTGACGGAGTAGACCTGCCCCCTAGGTTTATGGAAGCAGATCACAGATCTTTCTTCTGTGGGCAGCAGAGAGGGGAGGGCCGGCCCTGCCTATCAGCCATTATGTGAATTGTTGTGTGTCGCTGAGTCGGTTCCAAGTCATAGCAACAACCATGTAGGACAGTCAGTCGAGGGTCTCCAAGGCTGTGAAACTTCACGGGAGCAGGCTGCCGGGGCTGTTCTGTGGAACAACGGTGGGCTCAAGCCTTTCTGCTTAGCAGCTGAGCATGTAAGCCTCGCTTCACCAGGTGTCCTTTAGGTTAGGAAGGACTTTATTCATCGTAGGTACAGGGGTTCGGAATATTGAGGGGACACAGCTCGATCCAGAACCATGTCAGCTCTCTAGTGCTGCTGGGACAGAAACACCACAATGGTGGTTTTCATGAGCAGAAACGTGTTCTCGGCGTTCTGGAGGGCACCTGCTCTGGGGGAGGGCCTTGTCTCCTGCCAGCATCTGTGGGCCCAGCGTTCCCTGTGTGTCTTGGCATCAGTCTTCTCCTGAGCCTAGAAGGTTCTCAGCACATAGAGCCGGGGTCCAGGGTATGTGCTCAGCTCGCAGGTCTTCTCCTGAGCCTAGAAGGTTCTCAGCACATAGAGCCGGGGTCCAGGGTATGTGCTCAGCTCGCAGGTCTTCTCCTGAGCCTAGAAGGTTCTCAGCACATAGAGCCGGGGTCCAGGGTATGTGCTCAGCTCGCAGGTCTTCTCCCTGGTGGTACTGAGGACCCCCCTCTCTAAGGGTGTTGCATCCCACCCCATTCCCCTTACAGCTGACTGGCTGATCACATCCGGTCATCAATTACGTCACTGCCTACCTGCAAACCCTAGGAATCATGGCCCAGACCAGTTGGCACATATTTTGTGGGGGAGCACAGTTCAACCCAGGACAAGACCTTGATGGTTTGGGGTCTTCCTGCAGTAATAACAGGCCACACACAGGTGGTTGTCGAGAACACATATGTGGTCTGTCGGTGTCCCAGAGGTTAGAGGGTGTCAGCGTGTTGATTCCCTGAGGGGGAATCTGTCCCGTGCCATCATGCCTCTCACTTCTGGTGGCTGCTGATTCCTCCTGCGGGTGTCTCCTTGTCTGTCACCTTCTATAAGACGCTGTTGATGTGGGGCTAGGACCCAACCTGCCCCACTTTGATAGCTGCTGCCTTGGGGATTGTGTTTGGACATTTTACTGAGGTTGAGGTAAACGTTTTCCAAGGAAATGAGCTCCCCATTCAGCAGTTCCTGCAAATTTTGTTTTGTCCTTGGCTGCAAGGCCCTCGATGCACCCGTGCCCTCCCACCTCTCCCCTGGGCCCTGTTTCCAGTCCTGCTCCCCTGGCCCTTCCTGCCTTCTGAGCTTGGTGTCTGGGAGATGGTGCCCTTGGTCTGGTCTGGCTGAGTTTTCTGAGACGTGCGTTCCTCGTGGGTGATACTGTTCACGGTAGAGGCCTGTCTGTGGTTTGGCAGAAAGTTGATCCCCAGGGCTGCGTTGATTTAAGGCTCACAGTCTCAGGGGTCCCACCAGACTCTGTCAGACCAGTGTGTCCGGTCTTTTAGGTGGTTATGACTTGGGTTCTACATTGTTGTCCTCTGTCCAAGACCTTGCGATGTGATGTATTTTACTGACCACATCTGTAAATAAAATCCTGTCTGTCCCACAAGAAGGGTCTCACTCAATAGGCACACAAGTTAGGGCGTGACTGTGATCTTTCTGGGAAACACAATTCAATCCATAATAGGATTCCAAGAGGGAAGCCCGTGGAGGGCTGGAGTAGAGAGGGTCAGGTGCAAGCCCAGATGGTTCCCAGGCCCGTCCTCTGCCCACCCGTCTCCTCTCCTCACCCCCAGGAGCTGGGTAACAGCCTGGACAAGTGCAAGAACAATGAGAACCTACAGCAGATCCTGACCAACGCCACCATCATGGTCGTCAGCGTGACCGCCTCCACCACGCAGGGGTACGTGACGGGCACCCAGGGCTGCCTCGGGTGTAGACGACCTCGGGGGCCGAGTGGCGTGTCTCGGTCTTGGAGCGTGTGGTTACTGAGCGCCTACTACAGGGCAGGCTCGATGCTGGGCGCTGGGAGTCCCGGGGGGCAGGCAGAAAGCAAGCACCTTATTAGAAGTGTTTGTTTCTTGTAGAGGAACCCTGGTGGTGTCAGGGTTAAGCAATGTGCTGCCAACCTAGAAGTCGGTGGTTCAAACCTACCAGGGGTTCCTCAGGAGGAAGAGGAGGCTGTCTGTTTCCGTTAAGATTTGCAGCGTCAGAAACCCTGTGGGGCGGTTCTTGTCTGTCCTGGAGGATTCCTGTGGGTCAGAACCAACCAGATAGCAGTGGGTTTCGTTGTTTATTTGCTCCTTGTGTGTGGTCCCTGGGGGGTACAAAAGGTTAACACACTCAGCTGCTGACTGAAAGGTTAGCAGTTCAAGTCCACCCAAAGGCTCCTTGGAAGAAAGGACTCTAAACCCTAGCAATGTACTTCTGCAAGGCCGCCGACACCCACTGGAGCACAGTGCTGCACAGACACACGCGGGGGCGCTGGGATCGACTCGCTGGCCGCTGGGTGTTTTGGTTTTGGGTTCACGGTACGCTTTCCCCTGCTAAGTTAAGGCTGCTGCGTGGCGGGGGTTTTGTCTGTTTTGCCCACCGCTGTGTCTCCTGCACGTTGGACCCGGCACAGCGTGGACACTTAGGCAGCACTTCCTGAGGGCAGGGGAGCAGGCGGGTGACCGGCAGAGTTGTGGGCTGGTGGACCTCGTGTCCCCTGTGTGCCCAGCACTCGGGTGTCTCTGAAGCCCCTGCTGGGTGTCAGGTTGGTGGTTTGAACCCACCCAGCAGCACCACTGAAGAAAGCGCTGGCAGTCAGCTTCAGTGCGTTATTTTTTAAAAGACATCACATTCCAGTCGATTCTAACCCATCCCAACCGTACAGGCCAGAGTAGAGCTGCCCCACAGCGTTTCCAAGGCTGCGATCCTTACTGAAACAGACGGCCTCACTTTTCCTCCTCGGGTTAGAACTACCAACCTTTCTGCTGGCACCGGAGTGCTGTAGCCACCGTGCCACCAGGGCTCCGTGGCTAACCATGACAGCCCCGTGCCACTGTGTGTTACACGGGGCTCGCCGTGAGTCAGAATTGACTTGGCGGCAGCAGGTGTGTGGTTGGTGGTGCTGAGGGCCGGGGGCCAGGCCCAGGGCAGAGCTGGGCCGCATGCCATCTACACACACACAGTGCACATGGGCATGTTTGCACGTGAGAAGGGGCTTGAAAAGGTTTGTGGGAAAATTCCATGATCTTTGATTCCATGTGCCTGTGAGCTTTTTAAAGCCCCCTCCCCAGGCATGCACTGCTGCACACTGCAGGCATTTGTGCCACCATGCGTGTGTCACATACATGTGTACACATGTGTGTCTGCACATGTGCATGTCATTGTTACGTGCAGTTGAGTCGGTTCTGACTCATGGTGACCCTGTACGGCATCTCCGAGGAGTGACTAGTGGTTTGGAACCACCAACCATGTGGTTCAAACCGACCTTGCAGTCCAGTGCATTATCCTGCAGCGCCACGCCAGGACTCTGCATGCGTGTACACACATGTGTAGGTGCTGAGAGGAAGAGTGAGCATCTGACCGCACACAGGTGGGACTTCCGGGAGGGGGTCCACCGCACCTACATGGCCTGCCGCCCCCAACCCCAGGCAGCAGCTGTCGGAGGAGGAGCTGGAGCGGCTGGAGGAAGCCTGCGACATGGCCCTGGAGCTGAACGCATCCAAGCACCGCATCTACGAGTATGTGGAATCCCGCATGTCCTTCATCGCCCCCAACCTCTCCATCATCATCGGAGCGTCCACTGCGGCCAAGATCATGGGTGAGGCTTTGGGCCGGGCAGGTGGCCGGGGCGAGCTGGGATAAATCCCTGGGTGGAGTCAGTGGTTCGAACCGACCAGCCACTCTGGGAGTAAGATATGGCAGTCTGCTTCCGTAAAGATTTGCGGTTTCTGAATGGGTCTGGGAGGGAGAGTGAACACCCACAAGTAGATACAGGATTGACGATGCTGTTTGTGCCTGTTTACCTGTGAGTGCGGCCGAGCGTCCAGGGCACAGAATGAGGGGGGCTCAGGGCCATAGTCTTGGGGGACACCATGGTCAGTCGGCATCCAGAGTCCACAGAGACAATACTGTACACCCCACTTTGGTGAGGAGCATCTGGGACCCTCAAACTCATGAACAGCCATCTGAGGTGCAGCTGCTGGTCTCCATGTGCGGAAGAAGGAAGAGGCTGGGAACCAACTAGTCACTGTACTAATGGAATATGTGAACGCCAGCCTTCACGCCGCCAAGACCTGAACTAGATGGTGCCCACGTCAGAAAGGTCCCGGATAGAGTGAGGGAAAACATGAAACAAAAGTCAAAATTATCAAAAAAAGACCGGGCTTACTGGTCAGGGAGAGACTGGAGGAGTCCAAGGCCACGGCCCTCGGTCACCATTCATGTCCTCAGCAGAGCTCACCCGTGGGAGCCCATTTTCAGCCCGACAGTAGCTAGATGGACGGTGGGACTTCCACCCTAGTAGGTATGCTCATCATGGAATGGTCAACCATTAAAGATCAAAAGGGCAACATTTGCCTCAGGACCAAGTTCAGAAGGGTTGGGAGGGGGGTGGGATGCGAGCAGGAAGCCCAAGGAGGAAGTGGGTGAGTGATGGTACATGGAGGGGACTGCAAACCTTGGGTTGAAACAAAGCATGTAATGTGTTGGGTGTAAAACTGATGATCTTCTCTGTGAAGCTTCACTTAATTCACAATAGAAAGTTTAAAACCAAGAACAATTACAGCCTCAGAAACGCTTTGGGACAGTTCTACCCTGCCCGACAGGGTAGCGGTGCCTCAAGCTTGATGGCAGTGGGTGGGGTTTGGAGCAACTCCCCACGTCCAGGCCCCCTCTGTCAGGTGAGGGCCCATTCCAGATCCTAGATTCGGACATGGACCTCCTGCGGGGAGACTGCTTTTCCTCCTGAGTCTCTGAAGCCTTGTGTGAGGTGGCTCGCTCTCAGGATCTCAGTGCTTGACAAGGCAGCGGATCTAGGCCCTAAAACCCGTAAAACCTCAGCACCTGGTAGGAATCCACGTGCTCAGAGATGCGGTACCCGGAGCCATGCAGCCCCAGGGTGATGTCAGGCTGCCCCAGCTCCGCTTCCGAGAGCTGCTGCCTGTAGGTGGCAGGCGGCAGACGTGGTGACCATCTCTGCCCACCTTTGGCAGAAGTAGCTGCCCAAAGCTCCTCTTCCTCCCCTCTGCCCACGAGCAAACTCACCAGAAACCCACAGCCAGACCACTGCCGTTACTGCAGAAACCAAACTGTGTCAGAACACACAGGCCAGGATCTCAAGTACCGATGTGGACGTGTGGTTTTGACCACAGGCTTTGGGGTCAGGGCCCTGTTAAGGCCAGTTCCTCCCCATACATTCTCAAGCACCTAGCTTCCCCTCTCGGAGCCACCTCCGGATTTCTCCTCTTACCTTGCCTCTTGAAGCTGCAAAGGCCTTTGTGTGGATCATCATAAACTGGATGGCACTATGAGAAATGGAAATCCCAGAACACTTCACTGTGCTCATGAGGAACCTCTACGGAACAAGAGCCGTCCGAACAGATCAGGGAAGGTGTGCATCCTTTCATCATACTTAATTAAACCTGTATGTTGAGCAAATAATCTAAGAAACTGGATTATATGAAGAAGAACGTGGTGGCATCAGGATTGGAGGAAGAAGACTCATTAACAACCTGCGCTACGCAGATGATACAACCTTGCTTGCTGAAAGCAAAGGGGACTTAAAATACTTACTGATGAAGATCAAAGACCACAGTCTTCAGTAGGGATTGTACCTCAATGTAAAGAAACAAAAGTCTCAACTGGACCAATAAATAACATGATAAGAGAAGAAAAGACTGAAGTTGTCAAAGACTTCATTTTGCTTAGATCCACAATCAACACTCATGGAACCAACAGTCAAGAAATCAAAGGACATAGTGTAGTAGGCAAATCTGCTGCACGAGACCAGTTTAAAGTGTTACAGAGCAAAGATGTCAGTTTGGGCACTAAGGCATGCCTGACCCAAACCGTGGTATTTTCAGTCGCCTGCTATGCATGTGAAAGCTGGACAGTGACTAAGGAAGACCATGGAAAAACATGTATTTGAGCTATGGTGTTGGAGAAGAATATTAAGTACAAAATTAACTGAGGTGTCCAATCCCAGACTGGTGTTGGTCTATGCCAAGTACCTTGAGCCCAGCCTCCTGAATCTCCCCTCCCTCCCACCCCACTGCTGCAGGTGTAGCCGGAGGCCTGACCAACCTCTCCAAGATGCCCGCCTGCAACATCATGCTGCTTGGAGCTCAGCGCAAGACGCTCTCTGGCTTCTCGTCCACTTCTGTGCTGCCTCACACCGGCTACATCTACCACAGCGACATCGTGCAGTCCCTGCCCCCGGTGAGTCCCCTGCCCTGACATGTCCTCGCTCACCAGAGGCCGAGCGTCTGAGTCTCTGTCTTCATTGTCTGTTGTCATAGGGTGCCATCATACCGGCTCCAACTCACAGTCTCCCTACATACCCCAGCTTGCTACCCTGCCCCCTCGGTACTGTGCCGTCCTTAGCATTGTTAGGTTCCAGCCCACTGTGTCAAGCCATCTCTTCAGGAGTTTTCCTCTGGTCCTCCGACCCTCCACTTCACCCAGCATGATGTCCTTCTCCAGGGACTGGTCCCTCCTGATAATATGCCCGAAGTGTGAGAGACAAAGTCTCCTCACCATCCTGGCTGCTAAGGAGCATTCTGGTTGTACTTGGTACAACATAGATTTATTTGTTCATTTTCTGGCCGTCCATGGTACTTTCCATTGTCTTCATGACCACGGTTTATCTTACAATTTTCTGTTTTGTCCCACATTCTTCTCCCACTGTATCCAGGACTTGCTACTGCGATCCCGTCCAAAGCGGTCGGCAGTGGCAACCGGGCACCATCTAGTTCTTGTGGGCTCTGGTACAAAGTTAGATTCGTTATTACACATCGCTGCTCCCATGTGTCAGTCCTCCTCCCCCACCACCTTGAGGGTGCTGTCCTCATTACCCCTCACCGAGTGCCTCCCTCCCTGAGCTGGAGTGCCTCATCTGTCTGTCTGTCTGAGAACTGGATCAGACACAGGCTTAGACATCACAGGTCCGTAAGGCAACCTCAGGGGCGACTGTGAGCGTGGGGGTTGCAGGTGAGAGGCCAAAGTTGCAGCCTCCGCCCTGCGACCCAGGATCAAGTGCCCCCAAGGACTGTCCATCCATCCAGCTGGCTCAGGCCCCACCTCCCTTTCCTGTTGCCCCAGGACCTCCGGCGGAAAGCAGCGCGGCTGGTAGCCGCCAAGTGCACCCTGGCAGCGCGCGTGGACAGCTTTCATGAGAGCACCGAGGGGAAGGTAGGGGATGGAGAAGGGTCACAAGTGGGGGACGGACTGGGAATGACACTTGTCACTGGCAGAAGACCTGGTGGTGCATTGGGTTGAATGTTGAGCTGCTAACTAGGTCTGCAGTTCAAACCCACCAGCCACTCCTTCCTTGTTATAGCGTACAGACGGTTTAACACTGGAATGTCACACACAATGTGTTGTTGTTAATTGCCGTTCCAACTCGTGTGTTTAAATCTTCACGGGATTAGAAAGCCTTATCTTTCTCCCTCGGAGTGGCTGGCGGGCTCAAACCGTGGACCTTGTGGTTGGCAATCCAGTGTTTACCATAGTATGCCCCTCTCAAAAAGAAAGAAACTTTCTGAAGGCCCCTCTATAGTAGAAACAGTGAAGCTGGAGGTACAAACAATCCAGCATCTGAGATCCGAAGGGGCGCTGACCTGGGGATTAGGGAACGGGAGGGTGGGACCTGGGGACAGCAGTCAATGAGATGAAACAAACTATCGGCTGTTGAATGGAAAAGCCATCTGCTCTGTAAACCTTCACTCAGTTCACTATGAAAAGTTTTCAAAGGGGCTGTAGGCACCTCCCTGCCCGTCTGTCCTCCCCGCAGGTGGGCTACGAGCTGAAAGACGAGATCGAGCGCAAGTTCGACAAGTGGCAGGAACCGCCGCCCGTGAAGCAGGTGAAGCCGCTGCCGGCGCCCCTGGATGGCCAGCGGAAGAAGCGCGGGGGCCGCAGGTGAGGGGGCAGTGGGCGGGGATGCACGCACACACGAGGGAAGGGGCGGGACCGTACACCACGCACACCACGCTGACACCCTGGCATCGCCCTTTCCCTCACCGCCCCCAGGTACCGCAAGATGAAGGAACGGCTTGGGCTGACCGAGATTCGCAAGCAGGCCAACAGAATGAGCTTCGGAGAGGTGGGACTGAGGGGTGGTTATATCACCCAGAGGGCGTTAGACTGTGGGAAAATCAGCTCAGAGCCCACCCAAGCTCTCCCCAGCTGTGGCCCCCTCAACCAAACAGCTGAGCCAGAACCAGAGAAAGAGACCCAGTGAGAGAGATGTATGTTTGTCGGGGAGGGCCTGGTGTCACCATGGTTAAGGCGCTCAGTTGCTACCATAAGGTCAGGGTTCGAATGCATCAGCCCCTCCTCAGGAGAACGGTGTGGCAGTCACCTTCCATAGAGACTTACAAGAGGGCTTCAAAAGTTGGTGGAAAATGGATAGACAAGATAATGGAATTTTTCCAACTTTTTGCAGCCCCTGGCTGGAGAAGAAATGGCCGCTCTTGTCCTTAGCTGTGGCTGCACCCCCAGGGTTCAGCAAAACTCGTGTATACGGGGTCCCCCTCGGCAAGGGTGACCTCTGTAGGTAGTGGGGGGCCTGGTCGCTTCATCCAGCATGCTCCTCCCTTTCCCCCAGATTGAGGAGGATGCCTACCAAGAGGACCTGGGCTTCAGCCTGGGCCACCTGGGCAAGTCGGGCAGTGGGCGTGTGCGGCAGACGCAGGTGAACGAGGCCACCAAAGCCAGAATCTCCAAGACACTGCAGGTACGGTCAGGCCTGGGCAGGGGCAGGAGGTGAGGTCAACACCCGAGAGGTGGGCACGCCCAGACGGCACCCCCACTCCTCTCCCACCATTGCAGCGGACCCTGCAGAAGCAGAGCGTGGTGTACGGAGGCAAGTCCACCATCCGGGACCGCTCCTCAGGGACCGCCTCCAGCGTGGCCTTCACACCGCTCCAGGTACCCGCGCCCCCTGCCCCCGGGTCAGGGCCTGCTCCCCCCGGGCCTCCCATCCTCTGTTGGTTGTTGAGCACCTACTATATTCCTAGCGCTGTTCTGGGTGCCAGGAATGCGGCCTAGGTCCTTGGGATTACTGGGCAGCTGTAGTCAGAGACGTAAAATAGATCACGTGTTAAACGAGTTGCCATGGAGTTGCTTCAGGTTCTGGGCAACCCCGCGTGTACAGAGTAGAACTGTGCTCTGTAGGGTTTCCAAGCAGCACGTGGGGTGAGACTGGGCAGTGTCACCTTCTGTTGTGCATAGGGTCACTGAGTTGGACCCGATTCGACAGCACCTAAGAACAGCAATACAAATCACCAGGCATTTCTTCCAAGGTGCCTCCGGGTAGACTCAGACTGCCAGCCTTCCCACTAGCAGGCACTCTGTCCACAGTGAGAGCTGTGAGAGGACCCGCTCAGTTCTCTGACGTGTCATGCTTCTCCTGCTGGCTGGGGGCTAGGAGCCCCTCTCAAAGCCCAGGCTGTCTCCCACCATCCCGTGTCTTCCCTGTCTTCTTGCTCAGGGTCTGGAGATCGTGAACCCACAGGCAGCAGAGAAGAAGGTGGCCGAGGCCAACCAGAAGTACTTCTCCAGCATGGCCGAGTTCCTTAAGGTCAAGGGTGAGAAGAGCGGCATCTTGTCCACCTGAGGAGTTGGCCTTCCTTAGGGACACAGCGGTCCTGGCAGGGAGACCCTGCCTTCCGTTCCTGCCGCATCACTGCACGTGCAGAGACTGTCCAGGGAGGTGTGGCCCCACCACCTCCACAACTGAGCTCGCCGCCCCACTTGGGGGGCACAAGTGGTCTCTATCATGCCTTGTAGTTTGTCTTTGTTTTGTTCTCCTGAGAAAGGAAATACTTTTACAAGAACTATAATTAAAATCATCATCCATCCTCGGAGAGTGATCAATTGTCCGACGCCCAGGGCATCTGGAGCGTCCGAGCCACAGGACTACAGGGCATTGAGTTTGGGCGTCTGTCTTCGTTCCCTCGGACTGCTGTAGCAGGAAGACCACACGTGGGTGCTTGGAACAAACAGGAGTGTCTTCGCTGACAGTGTAGGGGCTGGAAGTCCAAACTGAGGGCAGTGACTGGAGGAAGGCTGTGTCTGTCAGCTCCCTGGTTAGGAGGAAGGTCCTTGTCTCCCTTCAGCATCTGTGGGCCTGGCGCTCCCTGGAGCTCTCCATGTGGTTTAGCATCGGTCTTCCCCATCTTCCCCTGCGTCTGGGCGGTTCACAGCACCGGGGCTCTGGAGCCAAAGAATGCGCTCTGCTCCCAGCTCTTCTTTCTCGGGGGTAGAAGATCCTGCTCTCTGTTAGCTTCTCTTGTAAGATAAAGGGATGCAGGCTGCCCCCCAGGGATTAGAGCCACCACCTGTGTCAGGGTGCTTCTTCCCACCCTAATCCCGATAGCCGACGGGGCGATAACATCATTCGGTAACTGCAGGTTACATCATCACTACTAAACCCTGGGTGGATGTCCCTCCAGACTCCATCTGCTCATCTGTAAGACCTGGTGCCCGTCACGCTCGAGCCCTCAGACACTTGTCAGCGTGTGAGGTAATGCTTAACCCAGCGTGCCACCAGAACTCATCTCTTGAACTGGTTCTTGAATGTTCACGCGTGCGTCAGTGTCTCCTGAAGGCTAGTTGAAACTCACAGAGGGCTGGACCCTGGAGTTTCTGAATGAGTGAGTCTAGAATGCAGTCCCATTGTGGCGCTGTGGGTTAATGTGTGGACTGCAGAGTGGGTTTGAACCACAAGGTTGGCAGTTCAAGCTCACCGGCCGCTCCTCGGAAATCCTATACAAGGTTGCTGTAGATCAGAACCAACTCTACTGCGCTTAACAACAGGATGGCACTGGTAGGGCAGTGATTAAGCTTTTGTCTGCTAACCGGAAGGACCAGTGGTTCCAACCCAGGAGAAAAGATCTGGCTGGCTGCTCCCACAAAGGTGACGGCCTGGGAAACGCTATGGGGCAGTTGGATTCTGTCACATGAAGTCACTGTGGATGGAGATCCAACTCCTCATCCCCCACCCTTGGGGCTTGGACAGTGCCAACAAATGCTGAGCTGTGATTCAAAAATTGTGGAGTTAGGGAAGGTGTCTCTTCAACTGGAATGGCGGTTCCCCTGGACATTGTGGGCACCCCACACCCTCTCCCACCATCCCCTTAGGACTATGTTTGGGGGTAAAGTTTTTATTCATTATTTGTATCTACCACGTGCCAAGCTTTTCCTCTTCATCTATTCTGTGGGCCTTAGGTCTTCGAAGGACCTCTGGTAGCATAGTGGTTACGAATCGGGCTGCTAACCTCAAGGTCAGCAGTTCAAAACTACCAGCTGTTCCATGGGAGAAAGATGAGGCTTTCTGCTCCCGTAAAGATTTA